ATGCCCTTGTAATATACCCGGTACAAATCAAGGGGGGTCTAAATCAAGGGGGGTACCTTGCACTGCGTTTTACGGTACATAAAATAACCAATCAAAAATTTTGATTATTTAAATATGGAGCTAACAAAGAAACTATTATTCCTACATTGTTTTAATTTCTTCCGGTGTTTAATAAAAACAAAATAAAAACCAAGCTTTTAATATATTGTAATTCTTAAATTCACGGTATACACTTCCTTTAAACGCTTTAATTGTTCATCGCCTCCTTTTCCTTAAATTTTTGCACATCTTACCTACAATAAGAGCATGGCTGGCACTCGGGAAGAAGAAAGGCAACAGTATGTTTAGTCCCTTACTGCGATTTAGTTTATTTGTTTTTTAGATTATTTTATAGAATATTAATACATATTACTGCATGTACTTTTTTTTGTGGTTTTTTAGCTTTAAAAAACAAACAGATAGACGAGATTTTAATCCTAAAAGAAAAAATTCCCTTGGTAAATTCAGCTGACGCATATTCTTGTCTTTTCGGAGTTTCAACTAATATTAATTACTCCAAACAAAACCATAGCGGGTAAAAATAAAGATCTTCACTCTACCACGCCATTGGCTTCAGGTACAGTAACCTCACCAACTACTCCAACGTCTGTTGGCTCTACGACTTCCAACGTATCATTTTCTTCTGGCCCAGCTTTGCCTAGTTCGAGGCCAATTCCAAAACATGTACCAGTAAATAATTTTAACTCTGCGGAAGTTTCTTTATTTTTAAATAACGGTAAGTGATACTTTCATTGATTTTTATAATAATTCCGATTTTAATTTAAAAATTATGATACTGTTTTAAAATAGGCTATCATGAAGCGTTGGATCGATATCACAATAGTTCTGATCCCGGTAAATTTTTTTACTTTCGATCAGTTATATTAATATTAATAATAGAATTTATAATGAAGGAATTTTTGAATGAACTATTTTCATTAGATAAGCCCGATACGTACAAACCTCCAACAGAAAGTGCATGGGATAATAAGCTTGTTTGGGGTAAAAAAGGTAAAATTATGTTCGTTGGATTTTTTTTTTTGCGAAATTCCTTTTCAGACATTAATAAATTTTGATAAAAAAAATTTTTTTTTTTTGCAGCACATTTAATGGCAAATGGCAACGATTTCTTTACTGAATTGAGAAAATCCATTCCAAACGTCCCTGCATCAAATGCACAGCCGGCAACAGCAAAGTAAAAAATAAATAATTAATTCATTTCATAATTTTTATCAAGTTCATACTTTGTAATATAACTTATTTATATGAAGTGTGAAAAGGACGTTTAGCCATAGGCGGCCGAAAGTTGTTAATAGAAACCGCGAGGGTGTGTAGTAAGTAAATTACATTTTGGGAATGAAGATTAAAATGGATTTTGAATATCTTCCTCTCCTTCATCGACCTACCGGTTCCTGTCTGTTTACTAATCAATAAGGGTTTATCTAAAAAAATTGTGTCTTATGTGTTTATTTCTGGTGTTTACTTCTTTGTTTCTACAATTTGGATGAAATGCTAAATATACTTGATAAAAAAAAAGAAAAATCAAAAAAAAATCAAAAAAAGAAAAAATGCTGTTAAATTTATCTAATATA